AATGTTGATCCAATCTTTTTGCTGCTTTTAATATTGGAAGGCTATTTTTAATTATTCTGTTTTAAAGAGATTTTCAGAAAAGAGATTGATAATCTGCCCCACTCGGTAATCCAGTTCAGTGTGGTGTGACCAATCTTTGTTAGACCCACACCATTTGGAATTATTAAAACATTGACCACAGGGTCAGCCATTCCAAGGGGTGGCTACAGTACCATTGTAGACTGGTGATCTTATTAAACTTTAATCAGGGAAGGACGGGCTTTCCTCCCACTCCCACTCGTGGTAGAATTTTGAATTCTAGATAGGAGATAGCTCAGATAAATGTCCTATCTCTAAATATGATATTAGATCTATAGAATCTCTGTTAAGTAGGTCATCTCAGCTTCATTTTAATAAAAGGACAGATATTATGGAATTCAGTGACCATTTCATGCAAAAATAAATGGTCTTATATATGAATGATCATATAAAATAAAAAGTTTATATATAAATATTAGACTCTTTTTTAAATATTTTTTTAAACAGAGAGAGAGAGAGAGAATTTTTTTTTTAATATTTATTTTTTAGTTTTCGGCGGACACAACATCTTTGTTTGTATGTGGTGCTGAGGATCGAACCCGGGCCACACACATGCCAGGCGAGCACGCTACCACTTGAGCCACATCCCCAGCCCTAAATATTAGACTCTTATACAGTGTATTATCCATACTCACATACCATATTTACCTGCATTCACCCAAATTCAAGTATTTATGGATGGAAGTATATATGTCTAAAAGATTAGAATACCCATATTGTATATAAATAAAGTTAATATGCCACTTTTTGTTTGTTTGTTTTGGCTAGGTACATAGGCAAAACTATTATTACTTCATATTCCAAGAGAACATTTTCGTTCTGTTTTTAAGAAAGGAGTTGTTTTTAATCAAGAAATACTTGATTCCAAATTCTTCAAGATCTGACATCTATATCTCAACATTTTTGAAAAAATTTTAATCTGATTGGATTAAATCAAACCTACTGCCTCTTCTCCAGATTGAAACAAGGACCTCTGTGTTGTATAAGCTAAATACTCTTGGGCAAGTTGTTTAAATTATCCATGCCTTTTCTTTTAGTTACCTGACAGAACATTCTGTCTATAACTAAAGGCTGTCAGCATTTACGGTTGTAAAACATAAAATCCTTTATTGCTACAACCAGCTCTATTATCCAGGGACTGCCTGGAGTTTGTAGATGATGGAGCCTCTTGGCTCCTCCTTTGCTGTTTCCCCTGCTGCCTGCCCTTTGGCCACTTCGCTGCTCATTAGAGCCTCCACCAGATGGGGAGCAGGGCAGGAACAGGGGGTCAGCTCTGGTAAAAGGCTTGGTGGGAAGGAGACCAACATCAGGTTTTCAAATTGTTGATGTGCTGCACACAAACCCTGTCCTCAGGAATAATTGAACGCAGACAAGACATTGAAGTTTGTTTTTCACACCTTATTTATTCATTCTTATAGTAAATATAATTGTATAAGTTAGGTAAGAAGAATTTTTTTTTTCAGGATGCTATAGTAAACGAAAGTCTCTCTTTTATGTTTCATTAATATTGATGAATGGCTGCAGATTACACTTGACCCAGAGAATTTTTTTACTCACATTCAAATTTAGAAGAACTGCACTAAGTCTGTTACTAAGTCTGTTGTGACATCCTGGGGATGTCAAAGCCAACACAATAGGTGGGGACTTCCTCTGGGGAGACCAGGATCTGGGAACCCTGAAAGAATACCCTGAAGCCTGGCAGGTAGGTTACTATTTCATGCTTCATATATTCTGAGGCTAAATTTAACTACAGTGTTCAAGTATTCTGAGCTCTTTAGAATTTCACAGTCCAACCATAGGATTGTTTTACAAATCCTATAATACTTTGTATCTACACCCTTATTTGAATTTGCCTATATACAGGTGATGTGTGAATTGGTGATGTGATGTGGGCCTGGGTTACATTCTGTCCTTGTCATCACAGCGAATATTCAAGCTAATATCAAATGTATACAGGTCTGATTTATAAAAATAATTGGTCAAATTTTATCTAGTGAAGACAGACTTAAAAAGCCAAGTATCAAATTTTCAGAGCCTCAAAGAAGAAAGGGGAAAGGGGCATCAGGAGGACAAGGGTAATTCTATTGAGCTGTGATTTGACATATGTTGGTCTTATAATTTATGTTTGTTCAATCATTTTAAAATCACTAGGTCTTAAAGCAACTTAATTGTATACCTTAATATTTCTGAACAGTGGCATATTTATCTTCTTGCCTTCAGCTTAAGAGCTTAGACTACCTGGGTTCAGGTATCAGTTTAAGGTAAGTTGGTCATCGTCACCAGCCCCAGTTTCCCATGTGCAAGACAAAGGGTGATCACAGTTCTTGACTCATAGGATTGTTTTGAAGAATTATATGAGAAGCTGTCAAAAAAACCTTATTCAACAAGTAGCAAGCACACAATAGGTCATAGTCATTGATGTCAGTAGTTATAGGTACACTGTAGTGCCTGATAAGTATAGTGGCTAAGTGATACTTTTTCTTTAGTGTAGGTGAAGTGTGGTCTTTGAATTTTTGTTTTCCCATAGTAACTGTGGATTTGCATCACATTCTTTGGCTTTAAAAAAAAAAAACAAAAAACTGATCATCTGAGCTATCATAGGTACAAAAGCACAACCTGTAGACATCAAAGCAGTGTTTGCAATGATTTTGAATTACAGCTTAGGCCTCCCCACTTGAGAAGTAACTGCTAGCCACTATCGCCCAGCCCCAAAAGAGACTTTGAATGCCCTGCCCTTGATTAATGTTTCCATTCCCTCACTTCTGGAAATAGCTTTCTGCTCTCCAAAATAGGCTCTAGTGCTGTACCTTAAAAGAATTTTGGTCACAGCTTTGGATCATCAGAAAAACACAAGAGAGCTTTGTTGGCCAAATGTCACAAAATAATTTTCTACAGTTGTTTCTCATTGGGGGGGAAAGGGCAAAAATTCATGTTGTTCCATTTCTTTACTCTTAATTTTTACTACTAATGTGAATAATAAAGAACAGAATAAAATCAATAACACATAGTGTTCCTTTGACTTCTTCCAAGGGCATTTTGAAGCATTTCAGGTATCATTGGGCTTCATTGGGGAAAACATAAACCTAAGACCTGATATGAGGCTTATGTCACCACAGCAATAAGTGCTCCACAGTTGGAATAACATAGGTAGCAATGCCATGTGACCTGGAATTTTGAGTATTCACATTTCCAAGAGGGAAGGGCAGGTTTTCCAAGTTGCCAGACGACCCACATATTTTCAGCACCCCATAACAGGAAGCACTGTAGCCCGGAAAGGTGAAAGAATAACTGAGGAACATGGAATCATAAGATTATAGCTGGTATTGTCTTACAAAATCCCATTTGTCTTGCAGTCTTTTCATTCCCTGTTCCAAATGACTCTCATGTCAGAGAAGATATATGCTACCCACTTTGTGTCAAAATCTGATCCTAGTGCACAATTTCCTTATTACGGGTCTGAGCCCCTATCTTTTTTTTTTTTTTCTTGGCATTAATCTCTGAGCTAGTCCAACTTCAATGTTCCTTTAGTTCTGTAATGGGAATTTTTAAATTCATTTTTTTAGTTGCAGTTGGACACAATACCTTTATTTTATTTATTTTTATGTGGTGCTGAGGATTGAACCCAGGGCCTCACACGTGCTAAGCAAGGGCTCTACAGCTGAGCCACAACCCCCAGCTCCTGTGATGGAAATTTGGTGAAGCACTCCAACTCATGGGTCCACTCTCAGATCTGGAGTGGAGTTGGAAGGTAGGAACATGCCATCTCTGTGGTCTTCCATTCTCCAGAGGAGGGACATTGGTGACACTAAAGGTGCAGCCTTAGGAGTTTCAAAGAGAGGGTGAAAAGGTCATGCGATAATGTTGTCAGCTATAACATTTTCATTTTCCTGTGTTTGTTTTTACTACATCTTAAGTTGCTCTTTTAGGAGTAAGTAGAGCTTGATTAAATCCTTCAATTTCCCACCATTTTTTATTTTTATCATTGGACCCAAAATTTCCCATATGTATTGGTTGGACATGATGTTATTCCCAACCCTGATTCACCCCCTGCAATTCCCTTCATTGCAATGGTACAGAGTTTAATGACATTCTGTTTAGATTTGCCAATTACAGAATGCTCGTTTCCTGATGGTCACACCAAGACAGTGGTGGATTCTGTATATATTTTTTTTAATTTAGTAACGCCTTTCCTCCAGGGGTAGCCTACATTTTTGGGGTGTGGGTTGCTATTAAAATGTATCAGTGAATCAGCCAGGTTTTGGAATTTGTGCTTTCCATCCTGCTTAGACAATTGGTGAGCTACATAAAACCATTTAAAATCCCTAACCTTATAAACAAGAAATAGTTACTTTGTCTAATATATAATTTGCTTGGCTACTAAATCACTGATTTTAGTGGAGGTTCATTGAGATCACTTCATGGGCACAGGGCTGGGGATGTGGCTCAAGTGGTAGCGTGCTAGCCTAGCATGCGTGACGCACTGGGTTCGATTCTCAGCATCACATAAAAATAAAAGATAGTATGTCCACCTAAAACTAAAAAATAAATATTAAAAAAAATGTATGGGCACAAAATGTTATAACTGGTATCTTCCTTGAATTGTCAAAACTTCTCAGGGTTCCTTAGTGTTCACGGAGAACTATTTCATGCTGTATCACTTGTACCACACTGTTTCCTGCTAACTATGATAAAGCAAGTGAGTTAATGTATATTAATGGATTAATAGGATACTCGGTGCACAAAGTTCTGAGAGGATTTAGCCATATACAATCATAGTATGAAGAATTCTCTTGTGACAGAGTACATTTTTGCTGAAAAAAGGACTTTTCTAAAAAAAAAAAAAAAGAAGAAGAAAGGAAAGAAAAGAAGAAGAAAAGTATTGGAGATACTAACGTGAGCAGGAATAGTACTACCCCACCACCAAAAAAACGAAAGGACTTTTCTGACTGACACTATTATATTGTGGTATAGATTCAGAATTTCTATTTGCTCGTCTTTAAGTGTGTTACAATAAATGACCTAGACCCCTGTTAGAGACACCAGGAATTTGTATAATGAGGCAAACACCAAGATTTTCAAATTGTGTGAAATTCTAGGTGTGTTATTTTGTGATTTTATTATTTTTGAGTCAGAGACTTTTAAGTCGGAGAACATGCTTAGATTAATTTCCTTGCAGTCTTGAAATTGTCTTTGGGAGAAAAATATCCTTATGTGCATAAAAAAAAAAAGTCACCTAGAAAGGAGACTTCATGAGTACCACTTAGTGGTGTGTGAACTTACTCATCCTCACTGTGACAGGGTCTTTACACATTGAGCTTACATCTCTCCTTGTATGGTTCTCAGTCCATTTACTCTTGGTGGTCCAGAGAGGACAATGGCCATGCCTGCAGAGATACAATCGAAGTGGGAAGGTTAGACTGGAGGAGTGAAGTGTGGGGAAGTGGAAAATGAGACATTGGAGAAAATGGCAGAGTAGGAAATTTGAGTGCCCCAGATATAAGAGCTGAACTATGAGGAGTAAGACCACTAAAATGGGGAAGAAAAGAAAGTAGAGTGGATATAATAATGCTTCGGGAATATTTATACATGCTATTGGCTTTATATTTTTTAATCTATTATACATACAGTTAGCATATGTAGAAGCAAAAACCTTTCCCCCATATTTGTAGTATTATTAATCTTTTGGTTTTGTTGCCTCCATTGAGTTTTATTTCATGTTCAGTTATGGGACCAAAAGTACATACGTCTGTATAGTCTAGAGTGGAATTTGATTAAATACCCCTGATGATTATTCTACATGTTCCATAGGGAGTCAGAGATGCTACTTTCCTGAGGCCCTTTCCTCCATGGATGCCTGTGACCTTAGCCATTGAATCACTTAATCGTTTTTGGCCTCCCTGAATCAGTGATTCTGAGTGGGCAGAGTGGCAGTGTGATGTCATGTCTGGGGCATGAGCCTGCATCCTCACCACACATGGGTTCCACCCTTCCTGGTCTAGGCAGCTCAATGCACAGTGCTTGGCACATAGTGAGCGCTCAATAAATTTAGTTGCTTTTCCTGTCCCTCTCTGGGAACAGGAATGGCCAAATTTGAGAATGCCACCAAAGCATTAGGTTCCCCACCTAAAATCCATGGTGAAAGCTGATGCTGTGTGAGGACCCAGTTCCCGTTCGTTAATCTAGGAAAGATGATTGTACTGGGTTTACAGCTAGGCTTCCTGTGCTCATGAATCATAATAAGATCTCTTCCAGGATTAATGAGTTTTAACTTACTGCAACATTTCTAAACTATGTGTAATATTGAGACATTTGAAAATATTTGTTAGGAAAAATAGCTGATGGCGGTACAAATTTTGAAACAATCTGTATTTCACCTACACTGTATTTTATTGACTTCCCTTCTCCCCAACCCCACAGAAAGGTCAGAAGGAAGGTCTTCCACATTTTCTCCAAATTCCTAGATAAAAAAAAAAATCATATTAGAAAGGAAACTTCTGGTAGCCTAGTACATTTATATTTTTAAAAATAAAATGTTTCTTTCTTGCCCTTTCTCTGGTAGAAAAATTAGACACCCTTTATTTCTTCTTTTTTTCTTTACCCCAAATTCCAGAAAATTTATCCTCATCTTTCTTTTTGAGATAATTGTAGATTCACATGCAGTTGTAAGAAACTACCCAGAGAAATGCTTTATACACTTTGTCCAGCTCCCCACAATGGTGGCTTAAAAAAAAAGAGTGTTGGGGATAGAACCAAGTGCCTCATATGCATGCAGGCTCTACCACTGAGCAATACTCTAACCCACATTTTGTAAAATTGTAGTGCAATATCCCAACTATGATATTGCCACTAAAAAAGTTTTACATGAGCTCATTTGTGTATTTGTGCATGTATCAAGTTATAGACAACTTTATCACATGTGTGGGTTTAGGTCTCCACCACTATCTTTTAAGACTCTTGATTGCCTGAGAGTTTTTCATGTCTCATGACGACAGACACTGAGATGTGTGTTCTCCTCTAAACATATAAGAACTTGGCCTAGCTGTTGGAATGTGGGGAGTGGAATTCTGGCCCATGGCTCCTGTCTGTGGCTGTGCAGTTACTCTTTCCCATTCCCTCATTATAAAGGTCTGGCTGGCCCAGGCAGAATCATAGGTGGGCTTGGCACACAGCTAATTACTTGCCTGGAGTAACTTGTGCTTTTCTACTGCATTAAAAGTTCTGCCAATTTCAGAGGCCAGGAAGTGAAGAGTTGGCCTAGGACTGCAACACACCTGCTTTTCCTGAGGCCACATACAACATGCCTATTTGAGTACCTGTTCATCCTTTGGGATATATTCTCCAAGGTCCTGAACTTGTAAATATATAATCTTTATTCTCCTTCAGAAACTTTTGTTTCACAGAGATTTTAAAATGTCTACAAGGACAGATTTTCATTGTACATCTGGCTCAGTGTCCAGGATGAGCTATGGTACAACCCTGTCACCTTGACACCTTTAGGAATACACACTTGATAACACAACTACAGAATTAAGTTCCCTAACTTAAAGAAATTGCAACTGTGTTTCACACACACATGCGTGTACACACACACACACACACACACACACACACACAGCAAAGCCATGCTGAGATGTGGACCTTGAACAGAGAGACGGCTGTCTATCTGGCTAGGTCTTTCAGTCCTGTACTCCAGCATGAGAAAAGCTAGATTTACACATCGTTTAAATTATGAACATTAAAATTTGAGAATGCACAGGTCTGTTGCAGTCCACTAGTCACTCCTGAAATGCAAGTGTTTGATTAGATAACAAGAAAGCAGAAGAAAAAGATGATAAGATTTGATCGTAACGACCAATGGCGGGGGGGAAACACCCTAAATGTAATTACTTTTAAGAGAACACACATTTAGTACATTTGGATCCAGTTCCCTGTTGGATCTTGAATCCTCTAAGATGGTGGCATATAAAGAGCTAATTTTCCAGTCTTTCATATTGATGCCTTAAAAATCTGTTAATTGCAAGTAACATTCTGTAATTTTGGTAGTAAGTATCATTTTATTTAAATGCAAGCTTACTTTTAAATCAGCTGGAACTATTTTTGAGAATCCTGGAAGTGTAGAAAGAACTATATTTGAAAGGAAAATTATCAGGGCAGGCTGCTGTTATTTCCATAGTAAACTTCTTTGGATCTTACCTAATCCATACAAATGGGGCCACACTGCCAGTATAGGCATGGCTAGTGGCAAAGAGAAGACTGCAATTGTGCTCCTTTGTCTTGCTGTCTGTCACTGAGGTCCAAGCTATGCCACACAGTGAATTTCAAAAGTACTAAAATGTCTGTCTGTTTGTTGCTTGATTTTCTGATTTTCCCAACTGTAATCCTAGACTTGGTCTAAAACTGCTATAGCAGAATTCTCTCCTGTTCTACAGGTGACAAAATCAAAGCTGAGAGCAATTAAATATCCAGCTTAAGGTCACACAACCTCATTAGCCCTGACAAGAACCAGGTTTCCTGACTCCTAGTCCACTGCTTTTCCCTTTAATGACCAGCTTCCTCTTGCCTTACCTGTCCTTTCTTGGTTTTCCATTTGCAATGTTGACCACAGTTCGATCTTCTGTTAGATCCTGTATTAGGCGGTGTGTGTGTGTGTGTGTGTGTGTGTTTTGAGATGGTTGGGGTTGAACCTAGGATCTCAAGCCCTTTGTGTGTGTGTGTGTGTGTGAGTGTGTATACACATTTTTTTAAATTAGGGCTGTTGTGACAAAGTACCGCAAGCTTGGGTGTCTTAACACAACAGAAATTTAGTCTCTCACATTTCTGGAAACTGGAAATCTGAAACCAGGTGTTGGCAGGGCCATGCTCTCCCTGAAGGCTGTAGGCAAGAATCTATTCAGTGCCTTTTCCATAGCTTTTGGTGTTGCTGGGCATCCTTAATGTTCTTTTGGCTTTTAGGTGCATCACTCTTATTTCTGACCCTGTCACATGGTATTTTCCTGTGTGTCTGAGCTTCTCTTGTCTTCTAAGTCAGCCATATTTGATTAAGGTCCACCTTAATGACTTAACTTGATTACATTTACAAAGACCCTGTTTCTAAATATTGTCACATCCATGGATACAAGGTGGGTTAAGACTTTAACATCTCTTCTTAGGGACATGGTTCAACCCATAACATCTTCTTAACTTCAAACTCCAGAAACAGGCAGGTGTTTGTAACACCTAAAGAGAAACTGCAGTGAATTTCATTAAGTATAAAGCATCATATCCAACATTTGTAGTTTGTTATGATAACACATTGAAAAGATTTATAGACTGTTTCATGTATGATTTCTGGATTAATTCCTCCCTTTGAACCCATTTGTTGGGGCCAGTTTATTTATAGGGGAATGAGTAGACCTGAAAACACCTCATTTTCATTTTCAGTGTTGCCTGGAAACCAATAAAATTTTTTTAGAGAACTAAAAACTATGTTGCAGAACACCAGCACTATATTAATCATTTGATCTTTCCTTTTCCTAGATGCTTGTTTGATCTGCTAAACCTCTAGCTAAGACAAAAAATGAGACAACTTTAAGCTTTTCTGTTTGTTTCTGCAGTCATAAAGTCTCGAATAAACTGATATTTATTTGCATGTAATATTTAGCAGTGTGTATGAAAATTTTAAATAAAAGTTAAAAATAAAGAAATCTATTCACAACTGTACACATTCCCTCAAACTTCACTGGTGGAATATAATCATTTGCATTCATGAAAAATTTTACTGACCTCATTCTCTCTAATATTATTTGATCAATGTTGGAGGAAATGTACATGTAATCTTAATTTGTACCTTTTTAGGAATAGTTTTGAAACTATGTAATGGGAATGGATTGCCATGTCTTTTTATTATATATGTGATTTCAAATTTCCCTTTAAATTAATGTCTTGTAGCTTCAAATATACCTCTTCCCATAAGACTAGTCCCCATTTCCTATAATCTTACAGACCTAGGAGAACAATATTTTCCCTTCTGTCATTTTGATAATTACGTCCTCTGTGCTCAGTGGTGGCCTATTAACTCACACGAATACCAAGGGCTTGCAAAATAGCCTCGAATTTCCATATATTGGAACTGTGAGAATTTTCTATAATGGTGCTTTAGCAATAATGATGGAGGTGCAGGCATTTCCTGAGGATTAATGACCAGCTGGGAGGAACCAGTGGCCCTTGGCTCTGCCTCCCAGCCAGCCATTAATTCCAAGGAAATGTCTTTTGCTGAGGTCGTTATTGCTATTATAAGCTTAAAATGGAAAAACATAATAGGCGTATGAGTTATTTTATGGGTTGATGCAGTTTCCAATGGTATGTACTAATTCGAGAAAATGAATCTGTATACATACAAGAGTAA